TCTCTTAATGCATATTGTGCAACTGTCTCCTATTGCGGGGGAATTCTGTAACAGCTTCCAAAAAGTTTCCTTTACTCTATAGAAGCTGCGTTATAATTTTTTAGTGCCCGTCTGGATGCCACAAAATAACACGATATATCTCGATATTATGAGAAGAATAGTGATATGTCGAATATCGATATAATCCTGCGTTTGGAAGCCAATTGTGGGACAAAAAACATCACGATATTCGTGATGATATATCTTGAAAAACGGTATATTGAATATACGACTTGAACTTGTATATTTTGCACAACATCAACATGTTATGACCGCCTTTCCGCATTTCAAAAAAGGAGACGAAACATTTGACAGTACGTGCGCGCCATGAAGAAGATTGTCATGTTGTCCAATCTTCGTTGGTACTTGCTTCCTTTTTGAAGCCGCTATTAGCACGCTTGCCCAAGACGACAACTTGATACACCATTTCCGTCATTCATGTTGCGTCTTTCTCGTCAGTCCAGGATGTTCGCTCGTCCGTCATGATGTGCGTGGATCTTCGCGCGTTTTTGGGATTGCAGCATTCGAACCGAAGCCTCGTTTCGTCCTATCACATCGTACAGCCAAACATGAAATGCATTTCATATTATCACGCTATTTCAATATACTGAATCTGCATTTCAAAAAATGCAGAGAAGGAGATATTTAAATATCGTGAAAATATTTTGGATGGCTTCCAGACGGGCCTTTAGGCTCCATAGCATCAAGTATTATTATTCGGTATTTCAATAATTTATGGATTTTTTGGTACTATATAAATTTATGGGTGGCTTCCACATCCACAAGAAATGGAACGAGTTACAAGGTAACCTTCGACTTAGCTGCGAGCTTGAACCTTGCTCGTTTGTGTTCCGTTGTCAGTGCTGGACCAGACTTCTGCTTTCGATACTTCATGAATTTCGAGCTGCATAGGGTACGCAAAGTTGTCGTGTGACTTGTCCTTGGTTTCGTGGTTGCCGCGATCTTTCGGGCGGTTTGTTGTTTATGGACTGCAAGACGAAAGATGCGACGGATGTCTCGCTTTTTGAACACAGAGCGCCGTCTTGTGTGCGTTTTTGCCTGAGGATTAATCTGTTTTTTCCATAGGTTGCGAATTGCTTTCTCGCTCTGCCCGAGCTCGTTGACGATTCAACGGTTCGATTTTCCTATAGATGAAAAGGCTTTGGTCTTCCCGATCTCTTCGGCCGTCAAATGGCTGCCTCGGAGTTTCGGGGTTTGTCATCTTTATGGACAAATTTGAGGAATGTCATACATATGCGCCAACCATTGGATGTATGGATTTTTATGATCCACGCTATTGGCTGAAATGTGTATGTAGCCATTCGTCAGATTTGGCGCGGAATATGTTGTGCGGCTCTGCACTTGCACTCCCAAATTTTGGGTCGTGGTGAGTTTTCGAGCATTGCGTTAACGCACACACATGCACCTGACCAAACTTACAACTGCAATCTTTTGTGCTTGCGCCAGCACGATTGATGTCGATACAACATTTTCTCAACATCCGAAATAGTTGATTCGGCTATATTTTATTCCTGACTGTACTGGAGCGGTTGAAGACTGCCTTTTAAAGCCTCACATCTACAACATTCCATGGGTGTATTGCAGCATCGAAACGACAACTCACCGAGTTGCGGGACTACCTTGGTCTCCACGACGCTGGAGATGAAGCAGACGTGGCGGCGGACGAGAAAAGTGCTACCAGGCATCAGCTAAGCATCCTACGACGATGACAATACCTGCGACATCGATTAAGCAGCAGCAATTCATCCAGCAGCGATATGGACGACGACGATTGTGGTCCTTGGACCTGTAGAAAAATGATCTAACGCTAAATATTTTTAAACACCTTTGCGTTGAATAATATATTCTGTACAAAGTTTCGGAGGCACCAAATCTTGAAGTAAGTTGTACCTTCACATTTATCCCTGCGAAAGGTACTTGAATTGGTAAACGACCCCTGGAAGCTGCTCACGGCTGTGAATTGTATATTTCACGTCGTTTTTCAATAAAGATATTCCACAGCGAAGTCAAGGTGTTGCAATCAAAAAAATGTCTCGCCATGTGCTCAAAACCGTTTGCGAAAAAGTTGCGTTACCTTTATTGAATGCGTGCCATCTCCTGAATTCAGTAGGGTAGCCAATCTCGTTACTCCTCTTGGAGTTCAACAGTGGTCTGCGGCCGTCGAGGAGGTCGGGGGGACAAGGGGAGATGTCGCGGTGAGCTGCCGTAGGGCGCCGCACGCCTAGCATGATGGACCAGGTGTACGTGAGTGTAGATCTTAAGTCGCTGGGTCATACTACTTGGTGGCGCTGGGTCGTACTACTTGGTGGCTGGGGGTCGCTGAAATTCTGGAATGGAGACGACTAAAACCCACCTGAGATTATCTTGCACGGTTCATACAAATGATACTTTTAGCCAATCGTGCCGCGGTGGATGATTTGGAACAATAATACCTTACGAACGTTCAAGTTGGACGATATGGCCCAAAATTATTCCGAGATTTGGCGTCTTGATTTGGTCCGCATTGCTTCCGACATGTTTTTGTATTGACCATTGTATTCAAACGACACCACTCAAGAAAACTTGGTATTTGTATTGACTTGGGATACTTTATACGTAAGGTGATGCTTGCTTGATTGTGGGAATTCGCAAGTTCGTCCAAGTGTTCCTCGTCATTGAGACGCACAATCAATATCACAGGATACGTTGAAACGAGTCTTAGCAACTCAAAGTTTATCATTGTCAATGCGAGGTAAATTGTATTGATTACTATCACGATTTTGTGTTGACATTTTACAGGGAACGATGGATATCCTTCCCCCGTGGTACTAGTGACATATCTTGATGTTTGTATAAGTTAATATTATTTCGACGTTGGGTTTTGCTGGAAATTTTATTATTATTGCAGGTTTTCCGCTAATGAGGAATGCGTAGTTATTGGTCAAAATTTTGTAATTTCGACGTCAAGGAGTGTTCGTGACCAACTGATGCGACCAAGTTAAAAGACTACTACAACTAGTTAATAGTAAACCAAACCGTCACTGACGTCACTGACAGTGGTCGACATGATCGATGAGCCGACGGATAATTCTATTACTTGCTGGAGTGCTAAACAATTGGCCACAAAGCATATGGTCCTCTCAACATTGATGGCCCCCATATTAGAATCCAAAATGCATTACCATTTTATATTAATATAAAAAGGTCTATCATCCATCAATTAGTCGTCCTCTGCAGTACTTTCACTGTCGTAGTCTGATGAGTCGCAAGTTTCAGCATTGCTTTCAACGGCATGTAGATTGTGTGAAGTTGATGCACTTTTTCTTCAGCCGCGTTCATGCAGCCTCGAATGGCAGACTCAGACAAGTTGTTGAAAGCACGTTTGAGCCGAGTAAGAACGGCCGGAAAGGTTGTTGTGGTTGTGTACTGACGGCCTACTTCGCCTTTTACTATCGCCCACACAAGTTCGATAGGTTGGAGATCCGAGTGATGAGGTGGTGTGAATTCAACCACGTGGCCTTTTTGAGAAGCCATTGCAACCACCTCGATTTCAATGTTGGCCTCAATATACAGTGCCAACTTGGACCACACAACACTCTTCAAATCGCCCGGCTGAAATGGTATATTGTACTGTAGGCAAGCTGTTTGCATGTCAGCTTTTTTCCATTTTGACTTTGGAGTACCAACTGGAAAACCCTTGTGATACTTTGCGTTGTCCAAAGTGATGGTAGCGTTTTCAATCCGTTTTCGTCCAATGCCAGCAAAAGTTTGGAAAACCACCCCACAAAATAGGAGTGATTGAACATCCCATGGTAGTCTTTGACCTCCATCTTGGCGTTTCGCCCACCATGGAAAATGTCCAAAGACAACAACTTTGAATCCACACCATTAAAGTCAGCAATGGCAGCAAGGAAACAGGATCGTCTGCCGTTGTTGGACGCTTTGACTTGCATGTCCTGCTCGTCGTTTGGGTCGTAAATACTGTCAGTGTGCCGACTGTAATGGTGATGAATGTAGGATTCATCCAAGTAGACCAAGCAACCTCTGCTGTTTGCATCCAATTCGGCCACCATGGACTGCACATACATATCACGTGCCAGTGCAATCACCGGTGACAACTTGCAACACACCACACTCTTTTTTGCCACGACTGTACCCATGAGCGAGGAGAAACCTCTGAGCTGAACGGAGGCAAGCACTGTAGTCAGCTGGCGAATCAAAATCAAAATCGACGAAGCCACGACCATACAGTAGACCCAAAACGTCCTTTGCAACAGTGCGGGTGCGTGTTTCGCGGCGCTGCCGTACAAATTGCTG